GCGTAATCTTGGATCATCGAGGTTTCCTGCAAAGGCTATCGCTCATGGCCAGGATGTATGTACTGAACTTTTTGCTTTCTGCTGAATATGCTCAAAACGGAATAATAATTATCCTCCACCTCCCAGATAACCTCTGTGTGTTTATCTGGTTCACTAGTTGGTTCCCAAGAATTCCAGATATTTGCATCCCAGTCTGGTTTGGCAAGACCAGCCTGCACTGGTGTAGCTTTTTCCCTCCCAACTGTACAAAGTGAAAAGCTAAGGTTCCAGCTGGGCCTCCTGAGTTTTAAGCTTATCTGGCAAATCAGACACTAACACAGATGTGGAAGTTCTTTTTTTTTTTTTTGAGACGGCGTTGCACTTTTGTTGCCCAGGCTGGAGTGCAGTGGTATGATCTCAGCTCACTGCAGCCTCCACCTTGCGTTTCAAACACTTCTGCTTCAGCCTCCTGAGTAGCTGTGATTACAGGCATGTGCCACCACACCAGGGTAATGTTTTCTATTTTTAGTAGAGATAGGCCAGGCTGGTCTCAAACTCCTGACCTCAGGTAACCCACCCACCTCGGCCTCTCAAAGTGCTGGGATTATAGGCATGAGCCACTGTGCCCGGTCTGGAAGTTCTTTTTTTTTTTTTTTTTTTTTTTTTAATAGAGACGGGGTTTCACCATGTTGGCCAGGTTGGTCTTGAACTGCTGACCTCAGGTAATCCACTTGCCTCGGCCTCCCAAAGTGCTGGGATTATAAGTGTGAGCCAGCACGCCCAGCCTGGAAGTTCTTATATTCCTTTCTTCTTTTTTTTTTTGAGACGGACTTTCGCTCTTGTTACCCAGGCTGGAGTGCAATGGCGCGATCTCGGCTCACCGCAACCTCCGCCTCCTGGGTTGAGGCAATTCTCCTGCCTCAGCCTCCTGAGTAGCTGGGATTACAGACACGCACCACCATGCCCAGCTAATTTTTTGTGTCTTTAGTAGAGACGGGGTTTCACCATGTTGACCAGGATGGTCTCGATCTCTTGACCTCGTGATCCACCCGCCTCAGCCTCCCAAAGTGCTGGGATTACAGGCTTGAGCTACCGCACCCGGCCTATATTCCTTTCTAATTAGAGTTCTTCTAACTGTCAGACACTTGCTGTAGCTGCTACCTGTGGCCCATGGTCACTGGCATAGACCATAACAGTGGCCAACTCACTGTCATAGCAGCTCAGTGACCTTTCTCACCATGGTGAGTCATATGGCTTTTTACAAACAAGCACTCTAGACTCTCTGGGGTTTTCGTGGTTTTTCTGTACACACATGATGGTCCACAGATATCTTGCAAATGGGCAGCACACTCCATTTAGATGAGGAGGACCACCCTATGCTTTCCCCAGGGATGCTTTTTTCTCCTTGCTCATGCTTTGGTTTCCTGGCTCCTTGCTGGATCACCACTTGTTTCATGCAAGGGCTGTATATGCAAAGCCACCCTCAAATGCAGAAAGAGCTGAGAAATTAAAGAAGGGGGCACATAAAACCAGTTTTTCAGTATAGAATGACTTATTGGGGGAACTCACAGGCAGAGCATGGTCTTGCACAGCCACAAGACAAGTAGAACTCTTCACCTCAAACCCCCAGATCCAGGGCTTACAGCTTGGGGAAAGGTAAATGTGCTCTGGAAGGAATGTGTCGGTGGCTAAGGGTGTTAAACCTATGATGTACCAAGGGTTGATTTGAAGGAAGGGTGAAACTTACAGTAAATAGATATCCTATATAAAGAGTAATATATCAACTAGACATTTTGGAGGCATTCCCAGACTTGGGGTTTGTCAGCAAATTACCATTTCAAATAAAGTTATTCTTTTTTTTTTTTTTTTTTTTTTTTTTTTGAGACGGAGTTTCGCTCTTGTTACCCAGGCTGGAGTGCGATGGCGCGATCTCGGCTCACCGCAACCTCCGCCTCCTGGGTTCAGGCAATTCTCCTGCCTCAGCCGCCTGAGTAGCTGGGCTTACAGGCACGCGCCACCATGCCCAGCTAGTTTTTTGTGTTTTTAGTAGAGATGGGGTTTCACCGTGTTGACCAGGATGGTCTCGATCTATTAACCTCGTGATCCACCCGCCTCAGCCTCCCAAAGTGCTGGGATTACAGGCTTGAGCCACCGCGCCCGGCCGGCTTTTTTTTTTTTTTTTTTTTTGAGACGGAGTTTTGCTCTTGTTACCAGGTTGGAGTGCCATGGCGCGATCTCGGCTCACCGCAACCTCCGCCTCCTGGGCTCAGGCAATTCTCCTGCCTCAGCCTCCTAAGTAGCTGGGATTACAGGCATGCACCACCATGCCCAGCTAGTTTTTTGTATTTTTAGTAGAGCTGGGGTTTCACCACGTTGACCAGGATGGTCTCGATCACTCGACCTCGTGATCCACCGGCCTCGGCCTCCCAAAGTGCTGGGATTACAGGCTTGAGCCACCGCGCCCGGCCTGATTTTTTGTATTTTTTTTTTTTTTTGAGACGGAGTTTTGCTCTTGTTACCCAGGCTGGAGTGCAATGGCGCGATCTCGGCTCACTGCAACCTCCGCCTCCTGGGTTCAGGCAATTCTCCTGCCTCAGCCTCCTAAGTAGCTGGGATTACAGGCACGCACCACCACGCCCAGCTAATTTTTTGTATTTTTAGTAGAGACGGGGTTTCACCTTGTTGACCAGGATGGTCTCGATCTCTCGACCTCGTGATCCACCCGCCTCGGCCTCCCAAAGTGCTGGGATTACAGGCTTGAGCCACCCCGCCCGGCTGATTTTTTGTATTTTTAGTAGAGACGGGGTTTCACTATGTTGACCTGAATGGTCTTGATCTCTTGACCTCGTGATCCACCTGCCTTGGCCTCCCAAAATGCTGGGATTAAAGGCGTGAGCCACTGCCCCCGGCCTCAGATTTATCTTTTCTTTTGGCTTGAGTAATACGGTATTATTATATATTTTTTTCTTTTCCTTTTTTTTTTTTTTTTTTTTAATAAAGACAGGGTTTCACCATGTTGGTCAGGCCGGTCTTGAACTCCCGACCTCAGGTGATCCACCCACCTTGGCCTCCAAAGTACTTGGATTACAGGCATGAAAGTATTATTATATTTTTTCACAAAAACTGGCCAGGCATGGTGGCTTATGCCTGTAATCTTTTTTTTTTTTTCCTTTTTGTGGAGAACGGGGTCTCGCTATATTGCCCAGGCAGGTCTCGAACCTCTGGGCTCAAGCTATCATCCCGCCTCTGCCTCCCTAAGAGCTGGGATTACTGGCGTGAGCCACAGCGCCCGGCATGCCTGTAATCTTAACAGTTTGGGAGGCTAAGGTGGGGGTATCCCTTGAGGACAGGTGTTCAAGACTGATTTGGGCAACATATCGAGATCCCATCTCTACAAAATATATATGTCTCTGTGTGTGTGTGTGTGTGTGTGTGTGTGTGTGTGTGTGTGTATACATATATAGTTCGGTGTGGTGGTGTGTGCTTGTAGTTTTGGCTACTTGGGAGGTTGAGTAGGAGGATGGCTTGAGCCCATGAGTTTGAAGCTGCAGTGAGCTGAGATTGTACCACTGCACTGCACTCCAGGTTGGGTGACAGAGCAAGACCCTCCCTTAAATGAAATAAAATGAAATAAACTGGGCGCAGTGGCTCACGCCTGTAATCCCAGCACTTTGGGAGGCTGAAGTGGGCAGATCATGAGGTCAGGGGTGTGAGACCAGCCTTGCCAACATATTGAAACCTGGTCTCTACTAAAAATACAAAAAAATTAGCCAGATGTGGTTGCAGGCACCTGTAATCCCAGCTACTCAGGAGGCTGAGGCAGGAGAGTAGCTGGAATCCAGAGGCAGAAGTTGCACTGAGCTGAATTTGCACCATTGTACTCCATCCTGGGTGACAGAGCAAGACTCTGTCCCCAAAAAAACAATTGTTAATTTCTGGAATTTTCCATGGAATCTTCTGACCACCAATGACCTCTGGTAAGGAGTGAACTACTGTGATAAGAAATATATTTAGTCTAGGCCGGGCGCGGTGGCTCAAGCCTGTAATCCCAGCACTTTGGGAGGCCGAGGCGGGTGGATCACAAGGTCAAGAGATCGAGACCATCTTGGTCAACATGGTGAAACCCCGTCTCTACTAAAAATACAAAAAAAAAATAGCTGGGCATGGTGGTGCGTGCCTGTAATCCCAGCTACTCAGGAGGCTGAGGCAGGAGAATTGCCTGAACCCAGGAGGCGGAGGTTGCGGTGAGCCGAGATCGCGCCATTGCACTCCAGCCTGGGTAACAAGAGCAAAACTCTGTCTCAAAAAAAAAAAAAAAAAAGGAATGTCTTAGTTATTCACAACAAACCCCGTCATCACTCCAGAGTTTATGCTAAAAAGGTGATTTAGGGTGGGGACCCAAAGTAGCCTTAGGCTAGGGCTGGTCAACGGGTGATTAGAGGATTGGAAATGCAGAGAGGGTAGGGGAGGGAGGTAGTGCTGGAGATGACTCTTTATTAAAACTTTTGAATGAAGAAATTTGATGAGCTTCAGAGTTGCTGAACACTTGGAGCTGCTGGGAGGTCAGCGTGCCCAGTTAGGGCACGGAAGCTTTGTGACACCTCCTTTTACAACCATGCTCTTTGCATGGCTTCTTGCAGTGATCATCTGTGTCCTTCATAATACATTGGTAAACACAAGCAGAGCATTTCCCCTGAGTTCTGTGAGCCATCCTAGCAAATCATCAAACCCGAGAAGGGGGCTTGTGGGAGCCCTGATTTATCATCAGTCAGAAGCACAGGTCACATTTGGGACTTGTAACTGGCATCTCAAAATAGCAGCAATTTTGTGGGACTAAGCCCCTACCTGTAGGCTCCAGATAGCATCAGAATTGAATTGATTTATAGGACACCCAGTTGGCATCTGCTGGAGAATTTTGGTGTGTGTGTGTGAAAACCCCCAAAAATCTGATAAATATTCTGAGCTGTGTTCAGTGTGAGCAGAGAGAAAAAACTTTTCCTTTTTTTTCTTTTATAATTCAGTCTCAGTAGAGACTGTCAAAAATTGCCAGTGCCAACTATATTTCAAGCCTTCATGGCAGGATATTGGGAAAAGTTTTCAAGTAGAATAATCACGCCTCAAACAAACCTCATTGGCTATGATACTGCCACCGCACAAAGCTACTTTTTTCCCTTAATTTGTGACCAGTAAATGCCAATTTTTGAATAGGTGCTCAGTGCAAGTTCTCTTCTTTGGTAGTTCTCTGGTCATTACCTTGGGTCTTTTTTTCTTTTTTCTTTTTTTGGTGCCATGACTCGGATGGGTCTTTTCTCTTTTACTTTTTTTCTTTTCTTTTTTTTTTTTTTTTTTTTCTGAGATGGAGTCTCACTCTGTCGCCCAAGGCTCAATCTTGGCTCACTGCAACCTCTGCCTCCCGGGTTCAAGCAATTCTCCTGCCTCAGCCTCTTGAGTAGCTTTGACTACAGGCACTCACCACCACACCTGGCTAATTTTTTTGTATTTTTAGTAGAGACAGGTTTCACCACATTGGTGAGGCTGGTCTCGATCTCCTGACCTCATGATCCACCCACCTCGGCCTCCCAAAGTGCTGGGATTACAGGCCTGAGCTACTATGCCCTGCCTTTTATATATATGTAAATTTTTTGAGACAGAGTCTTGTGCTGTTGCCAGGCTGGAGTGCAGTGGCATGATCTCGGCTCGCTGTAACCTCCACCCCCCAGGTTCAAGCAATTCTGCTGCCTCAGCCTTCCAAGTAGCTGGGATTACAGGCACGTGCCACCACGCCCAGCTAATTTTTGTATTTTTTTTTTTTTTTTTTGAGATGGAGTTTCGCTCTTGTTACCCAGGCTGGAGTGCAACGGCGCGATCTCGGCTCACCGCAACCTCCGCCTCCCGGGTTCAGGCAATTCTCCTGCCTCAGCCTCCTGAGTAGCTGGGATTACAGGCACGCGCCACCATGCCCAGCTAATTTTTTGTATTTTTAGTAGAGACGGGGTTTCACCAAGTTGACCAGGATGGTCTCGATCTCTTGACCTCGTGATCCACCCGCCTCGGCCTCCCAAAGTGCTGGGATTACAGGCTTGAGCCACCACGCCTGGCCCCTTAATTTTTTATTTTTAATAGAGATGGGGTTTTGCCATGTTGGCCTGGAAGGTCCCTATCTCTTGACCTGGTGTTCCGCCCACATCCAAAGTGCTGGGATTACATACAGGAGTGAAATTATATATATATATATATACACACACACACACACACACACACACACACACACACACACACACACATACGTATATATATATATACACATACATATATATTTTTTAAAGATGGGATTTCACCATGTTGGTCAGGCTGGTCTTGAATTCCCGACCTCAGGTGATCCACTGGCCTTGGCCTCCCAAAGTGCTGGGATTATAGGTGTGAGCCACTGCACCTGGCCGTTAATGTGCTTTTTAATATCATCTACATGCTGATGACTCTCAAATTTGTTTCTCCAAGATAATTCTCTTTACCAAACTTGAAATTGTCCCAGACTTGGCCAGTGGAAGGTACTTATCCTTTTTTTTTTTCTTTTGCCTGTAGCTGACCAGCCTACCAGGTCTTTTATGCAGTTCAACATACATAGTGACACCAAGGTATGACAAATGAAGTTCCAGTTTGGGTGCCCCCATCTCCCTCCCCTGGATCCTCATCTAGTGACTGTCAAAGTCAGAAAGAACTGGGGTAGGGTGCTTGATCATGGGGAAGGCTGTTGTGTTTCTCCTGGCAGATGGGAAAGGGGGAAGTTTTCACTTCTTCACAATTTGAATGACATCCTCGTCCTCCAACGTATGGTCTTTACCCACTTTCTGAGGATTGTGTTTCACAGAGAGACCCCAGATCAGAGCATATTTAAATTCTTTGATAAGATTTTTGTGAATCTTCATGCAGAAATCCTCCTCTGTGGTCCTGGAATAAGGAAGCACCTTTGGGGATGTGTAATCTGGTAACTGGCCTTTGGGTTTGGTGTAAATTCTCACTAGTTTCAAATAGTCCCAGATCTTTTCCAATAGGTCGTCAAAATTCCAACGGTGATGGACAGAGATAGGTACACAGTGAGGTACCTTATAGATGATATCCAATTCCTCAGTGGAAATTTGGTCAATCTTATTTAACACATAGATACAGAGAATATAAACTCTGTTTCCTTCCACCACATCAATGAGGTCATCAGCTGTATCATCACTACGTAGAGTCACATCGGCATTATGAATCTTGTATTCAGCCAGAATGCTTTTCACAGTTTCAGCATCCAGCTCACTCTGGGGGCAAGTGGCTGTGAAATTAATGCCTCCCTTGTCATTCTTCTTTTTTTTTTTTTTTTTTTTTGAGACGGAGTTTCGCTCTTGTTACCCAGGCTGGAGTGCAATGACGCGATCTCGGCTCACTGCAACCTCCACCTCCTGGGTTCAAGCAATTCTCCTGCCTCAGCCTCCTGAGTAGCTGGGATTACAGGCACGCGCCACCGTGCCCAGCTAATTTTTTTGTATTTTTAGTAGAGACGGGGTTTCACCATGTTGACCAGGATGGTCTCGATCTCTTGACCTCGTGATCCACCCGCCTCGGCCTCCCAAAGTGCTGGGATTACAGGCTTGAGCCACCGCGCCCGGCTCATTCTTCTTAAAGTCAATGTTGCGGGGTTTGCTGTTCAAGCGAATGCCAAAGCCTTCCAGTTCATTTTCTTTTTTTTCCCTTCTCACCCACACCCCAGTTCATTTTCTTTTCTTTTTTTTTTTTTTTTTTTGAGACGGAGTTTCGCTCTTGTTACCCAGGCTGGAGTGCAATGGCGCGATCTCGGCTCACCGCAACCTCCGCCTCCTGGGTTCAGGCAATTCTCCTGCCTCAGCCTCCCGAGTAGCTGGGATTACAGGCACGTGCCACCATGCCCAGCTAATTTTTTGCACTTTTAGTAGAGACGGGGTTTCACCATGTTGACCAGGATGGTCTCGATCTCTCGACCTCGTGATCCACCCGCCTCGGCCTCCCAAAGTGCTGGGATTACAGGCTTGAGCCACCGGGCCCGGCGCTCATTTTCAATTATCTTCCTATGTCCCCAGGGTTTCAGGACAGCCAAAACAATCAGGATCAAGTTACAGGTTCGGGCCACTGCAATGACTTGACGACCTCTACCTTTCCCATCCTTGGCATCTTCAATGATACTTGGGAGATCCAGGAGCTGGATCTTGGCACCTTTGTATCTGATGACACCAGGCACGGTGGTCAGAGTAGTGAATTCATAGGCTGCTATCTCAGAATACACCCCTGCCAGGTTACTGAGCAGTGTTGACTTCCCCACAGATGGAAAACCAACAAATTAAATTCGAGCATCACCTGTCTTGGCCACATCAAAACCTTCTCCTGGACCTCCACCATCACCATCCTCTGGAGTAATGAGTTCTCGACGAAGCTTGGCAAGAGGAGCCTTAAGCAGCCCTAGGTGATGTGCTGTGGCCTTGTTCTTTTGCGTTCGAGCCATCTCAGCTTATTATCTCTGCGATCTTAGCTAAGGTGCTGTTCATCCTGGCGAGTCCCCTGTGGCCTCCACACTGTCTCTCTTCACACATGCTCGGGCAAACTGCCCCCACCCTTTTTTTTTTTGAGATGGAGTCTCACTATGGCCCAGGCTAGAGTGCGATGGCACGATCTCAGCTCACTGCAACCTCCTCCTCCTGGGTTCAATCGATTTTCCTGCCTCAGCCTCTGGAGTAGCTGGGATTACAGGTGCTTGCCACCATGCCTGGCTAATAGTTTTGCATTTTTAGTGGAGACGGGGTTTCGCTATGTTGTTCAGGCTGGTCTCGATCTCTTGACCTCGTGATCCACCCACCTCAGCCTCCCAAAGTGCTGGGATTACAAGCTTGAGCCACCGCGCCCTATTTTTTTTTGTTGTTGTTGTTTTGTTTTTGTTTTTGTTTTTTTTTGAGACGGAGTTTCGCCCTTGTTACCCAGGCTGGAGTGCAATGGCACGATCTCGGCTCACCGCAACCTCCGCCTCCTAGGTTCAGGCAATTCTCCTGCCTCAGCCTCCTGAGTAGCTGGGATTATAGGCACGTGCCACCATGCCCAGCTAATTTTTTGTATCTTTAGTAGAGACGGGGTTTCACCATGTTGACCAGGATGGTCTCGATCTCTCGACCTTGTGATCCACCCACCTCGGCCTCCCAAAGTGCTGGGATTACAGGCTTGAGCCACCGCGCCCGGCCTATTTTTTTTTTTTTTTTTTTTTTTTTTGAGATGGAGTTTCGCTCTTGTTACCCAGGCTGGAGTGCAATGGCGCGATCTCGGCTCACTGCAACCTCCACCTCCTGAGTTCAAGCAATTCTCCTGCCTCAGCCTCCTGAGTAGCTGGGATTACAGGCATGTGCCACCATGCCCAGCTAATATTTTTTTTTTTTTTTTTTTTGAGCCGGAGTTTTGCTCTTGTTACCCAGGCTGGAGTGCAATGGCGCGATCTCAGCTCACTGCAACCTCCGCCTCCTGGGTTCAGGCAATTCTCCTGCCTCAGCCTCCTGAGTAGCTGGGATTACAGGCACGCACAACCATGCCCAGCTAATTTTTTGTATTTTTTTTTTTTTTTTTTTTTTTTTTTTTTGAGATGGAGTTTCGCTCTTGTTACCCAGGCTGGAGTGCAATGGCGCGATCTCGGCTCACCGCAACCTCCGCCTCCTGGGTTCAGGCAATTCTCCTGCCTCAGCCTCCTGAGTAGCTGGGATTACAGGCATGTGCCACCATGCCCAGCTAATTTTTTGTATCTTTAGTAGAGACGGGGTTTCACCATGTTGACCAGCATGGTCTCGATCTCTCGACCTCGTGATCCACCCGCCTCAGCCTCCCAAAGTGCTGGGATTACAGGCTTGAGCCACCGCGCCCGGCCCTTTTTTGTATTTTTAGTAGAGACGGGGTTTCACTATGTTGACCAGGATGGTCTCAATCTCTTGACCTTGTGATTCACCCGCCTCGGCCTCCCAAAGTGCTGGGATTACAGGCTTGAGCCACCGATCCCGGCTATTTTTTTGTTTTAATTGCAACCTTCCCCAGCATTTTCTGTCCCCTTCCCTGCCTTTCCCCCCGCCTCCACCTTTATCCTGGTGCTATCACTATCTGATACACTATGTATTCTGCTCATTTATTTTCTTTATTTTCTGTCTCCGGACTCCTACACTACAATGGAATGCAAGCTCCACAAGGACGGAGGTTTCCATTTGCTCATTTCTGTTTCCCCAAGTTTGGAACTGTGTCTGGCACTGAGTAGGGACTGAAGGCACATTTGTGGAATGAGGGGAATGAGTGTTACCACAGACATCTTTCTACACAGGTGTATGATTTTTCTATTTCAATACATTTTAAAGTTAATTTAGTTAACTGACAAAAGCCAGGATATCGACATTTTATGATAGTCCTTTTCCTTTTGTTCTTCATGAAAATGATGGGGGTTTTTTTGTTTGTTTTTTTGGGGAGGCAGGGAGATGGGTCTTGCTATGGTTGCCCAGATGGCCTCAAACTCCTGGGCTCAAGTGATCCTCTTGCCTCAGCCTTCTGAGTAGCTGGGTTGGTGCACACTACTATGCCCACCTAAAAGTCAAGATTTTTTTTTTTCGAGACGGAGTTTCGCTCTTGTTACCCAGGCTGCAGTGCAATGGCGTGATCTCGGCTCACCGCAACCTCCGCCTCCTGGGCTCAGGCAATTCTCCTGCCTCAGCCTCCTAAGTAGCTGGGATTACAGGCACGCGCCACAATGACCAGCTAATTTTTTGTATTTTTAGTAGAGACGGGGTTTCACCATGTTGACCAGGATGGTCTCGATCTCTGGACCTCGTGATCCACCCGCCTCGGCCTCCCAAAGTGCTGGGATTACAGGCTTGAGCCACCACGCCCGGCCTAAGATTTTTTTTTTTTTTTTTTTTTTTTAAGCAATGTCTCGCCCTGTCACCCAAGCTGAAGTGCAGTGGCTTTACAAAGCTCACTGCAACCTGAAACTCCTGGGCTCAAACAGTCCTCTTGCCCTAACCTCTCAAAGTATTAGGATTACAGGTTTGTGCTCAGCCTTGAAAATGAAGTTTTGAAGTCAAACTCTCTCTACATTTCTTTCTTTTTATCTAGGTAGAATGTTTCCAATAAGGTATTAACAAGTAAGCTTTTCAAAGCATTGACTCAGAAGGGTCAATTTTTGTTTATAAGATTTATTTCGGAGCCGGGCGCGGTGGCTCAAGCCTGTAATCCCAGCACTTTGGGAGGCTGAGGCGGGTGGATCACGAGGTCGAGAGATCAAGACCATCCTGGTCAACATGGTGAAACCCCGTCTCTACTAAAGATACAAAAAATTAGCTGGGCATGGTGGCACGTGCCTGTAATCCCAGCTACTCAGGAGCCTGAGGCAGGAGAATTGCCTGAGCCCAGGAGGCGGAGGTTGCGGTGAGCCGAGATCGCGTCATTGCACTCCAGCCTGGGTAACAAGAGCGAAACTCCGTCTCAAAAAAAAAAAAAAAAAAAAAAAAAGATTTTTTTCGGGCCGGGCGCGGTGGCTCAAGCCTGTAATCCCAGCACTTTGGGAGGCCAAGGCGGGTGGATCACAAGGTGGAGAGATGGAGACCAACCTGGTCAACATGGTGAAACCCCGTCTCTACTAAACATACAAAAAATTAGCCGGGCATGGTGGCGCGTGCCTGTAATCCCAGCTACTCAGGAGGCTGAGGCAGGAGAATTGCCTGAACCCAGGAGGCGAGGTTGCGGTGAGCCGAGATCGCGCCATTGCACTCCAGCCTGGGTAACAAGAGCGAAACTCCGTCTCAGAAGAAAAAAAAAAAAAAAAAAAGATTCATTTCATGGAAGGCAGCTATGCTAATCACTAAACCACCAATGGTTGTATAGGATTTATTACAGGCCGGGCATGGGGTGTCTTATGCCTGTAATCCCAGCACTTTGGAAGGCTGAGGCGGGCAGATCACCTGAGGTCAGGAGTTGGAGAGAAGCCTGGCAAGATGGTGAAACCCCGTCTCTACTGAAAATACAAAAATTAGCTGGGCATGGTGGCAGGTGTCTGTAATTCCAGTTACTCAGGACGCTGAGCCAAGAAAATCACTTGAACCTGGGAGAAGAGGTTGCAATGAGCTGAAATCGCACCACAGCACTCCAGCCTAGGCAACAAGCTCAAAAAAAAAAAAAAAAAAAAAAAGAAAGAAAGAAAAAAAAAAAAGAAAGAAAGAAAGAAAAAAAAGAAAAGAAAAAAAAAAGGGCAGATGCGTTAACTCTTGCCTGTAATCCCAGTACTTTGGGAGGCTGAGGCAGGTGGATCACCTGAGGTCGGGAGTTCAAGACCAGCCTGAACAACATGGAGACACCCCGTTTCTAAACGTACAAAAAAAAAAAAAAAAAAAAGATTTATTTCAAATGCCATATTTCCGATTTTATCCAGCCAAAGTACTTTGTCTGATTGTGGCATTGAAAACACTAGTGCAGTCAGTTTGCTCTGCTTGCCAGCCTGGAATCTCTGTTCCTTCTGAGTAGGAGGCAAACTTTATTCATTCTATATGCCTAGATAATAGTGCAAGAATACATTTGTATTAATCAATCATCGAGGAAGGTTAAAAGTTTAGGAATCTCTCAGAACAGCCTGATTATGCTTATAACACGTGTATAAGAATAAAATCCAGGCCGGGCGCGGTGGCTCATGCCTGTAATCCCAGCACTTTGGGAGGCAGAGGCGGGCGGATCACGAGGTCAAGAGATTGAGACCATCCTGACCAACATGGTGAAACTCTGTCTGTCTCTACTAAAAATACAAAAAAATTAGCTGGGCATGGTGGCGCCTGCCTGTAGTCCCAGCTACTCGGGAGGCTGAGGCAGGAGAATTGCCTGAACCCAGGAGGCGGAGGTTGCAGTGAGCCAAGTTCATGCCACTGCTCTGCAGCCTGGCGCCTGGTGATGGAGTGAGACTCTGTCTCAAAAAATAAAATAATATAAAATCCAAGTGCAGAATGTGGGTAGAATGGTGTGAAAGGCAATAAGGGACTGAATCTTCTTTTCAGCTGAAGTTTGACCTGGAAGGAATGAAGGTTCCATGAACCAGCATTTCTCTTATCACAGTGACCCTATTAAAGTTCTGGATTCCCTCGCCTGTGTAATGACTGCTGGAAGAAGCAACAACCATAAAACATTTGGAGAAAAATTCAGATGCCATAGTGAGTCTTAATTCTGGCATAATGCCACTGGTTACTCCTCCTCACGTGGAAAACTTAGCTTTTCCGGCCCTTTCATTTCTTCATTCATAAAGTGAGTATGACCGCCACTGAGGTCCAGCGCCAAATAACTAACAGAACATTATGATGACCTTTGCAGACATCCAGCGCAGAGTCAAGGAACACAGTCCCCATCTGGTTTCTCTTTTTGGTGTTGAGGGCGGTTTTCCGTTGCTGGCGACTTAGATATTGCTCAATGGTGTCATCTCTGACCTGGCCCCTTCTTCATGCATCTGTAAACATGCACTTTGGAGATCCTAAAAACTTTTTCTAAAGCTCCCCTGGGAAAAAAGGTAATGACAAAGCTTGACACCTCTCTACCTCTTAAAAAACAGAGAGGAGTTGAGAGAGGAGGAGGACGAGGGGGAGGGAAAGGGGGGTCGAGAGGGGAGTCCAGCTCCAGTTTGGGTTAATCCAGCTCGCGTTTTGCCTCTCGCTCAACTGTGCAGGGTCCAGCGAAGGCAGAGCCCCAGCTTCACTCCCTGAGATCTGTCCTGGGGAGACACTGCTGCTCCGGGGGGCTGACCTGGCGGGGAGTGGCCGCGCAGTCTGCTCCGGCGCCGCTTTGTGCGCGCTGCCGCTGGCCCCTCTACTCCCGGGTCTGCCCCCCCGGGACACCCCAATACCCCGCCCAAGCCATGCAGCCCTACCTGCCTCTCTCCTCTGTGGACCTTTGGGAAGCCTCTCCCCACCTCGGGGGTTTGGGCCTAGACTGTGCTGGGAGCCCTTAGGCGTTCTCCCAGACCCGCCCGCTCCCGTCGCGCCCGTCGCGCGCGCCGGGGCCCGGGGCTCCAAAGTTGTGGGGACGAGCCCGAGTTGGAAAGTTTGCCCGAGGGCTGGTGCAGGCGTGGAGCTGGGGGCCGTGCGCTGCCCTGGGAGTGTGACCCGGCCAGCGGTGAGTTGGGGCAGGGGCAGAGGGCAGGGGTGCCGGGAGCGAGGACCCGGACGCCGAGGCCTGAGGGGGTCGGGAGGCGGCGCTCTGCGCGGGCTGGACGTAGCCGGGACTCAGCGTCCGTGGCTCTCCCGCGACCGCTGGGGTGGGCTGGCTCCCCGCTGCGACCCCCCACCCCGGGACGCTCGGTGCGCTTTTGTTGCGGGAGGTAAACAATGCTCCCGGCCGGAGGTCTCGGCCACCCGCCCCGGAGGCCCCGCCATAGCGCCGGGTGCGGGGCAGTTAGGAGCGCCTGGGGCTTTGACCCCGGGCTGCGCTGGAAACGGGGTTGGGGGAGGGCAAGCGTGGCCTTCGGGAGATGGCTGAATGTGCTAGTGATTTCCTAGCCTCTCTGGGGAGTCGGAGGTCGGGGCGCCTGGGGGTGGAGAGGCTAGAGTCTGTGCAAGTTGTGAGTGGCGAGCCCTGGCTGTCCGGTGCTCAAGCGTACCCCCTAAACAAGTTTTCTTACCCCCCCCCAATATTTATATGAGAGACAGGTTGGTAGGAAATGGTTTGGCGCCTGTCTCCCCGAGAGTTTCGGAAAGACGGCTTCAAAGATGAAACGTTTAGAGTGGAGGCAGTGATGGAGTCTTGCTAGGAGTTGGCTTGCAGTTGTAAGGATCTGGGAAGAAGGGAAGAGGGGGTAGTGTGTGTTCTGTCAAAATGGCATTTAAGAAACTCATTTATGAGCGCCACTGGGTCGCCGGCCCCGCTGGCGTTGCGATCCCATCAGTCCGCGTCTGGCGGGATCCCGGAGCGGGCCCCGAGGGTGGGAGGTGCGCGGAGCTGGGTGCGGGGGCTGGTCGTGCAGCACGTGAGGGGCCTGGGCCCCGCCCGAGGGCGAGGAGGCGGCCGCACCACCTACCGCTCCCCCGAGAGAAAATGTTCTCCCTCTCTCTTCGTGCTTCCCTCCCTCCTCCCCGGCTCCGGTCTCCGATCGCGTCCCCTCCAGGGCTCATCTTCCTATGTCTGTCTCTGTCTCTGTCTCTCTCTCTCTCTCTCTCTGTCTCTCTCTCTCTTCCCCCCCCCCCCCCCCGTCTCTCTGTATATACTACAAGAAGTGGTCAGGAAGGGATTGGACGGCGCTGGTAACCTTTCCACGTGAACAAGAAGCCCACACTGGGCATTTCTGATCCAGTAAAAACTAAGGTGACTCCAAGAGAACACTTAAAAAGCTCCAGCCTCGGAGTCTTTTCTGCGCCCCCCATTCGTCCCTCTTCCAAATTAGCCAACCTTCCTGCATGGATCTTTTAGGGTGCCTCTTCCCCTCCGCCCCAGTTCCACTCTGGCGCACTAAAAGAGCTGCACAATACGTCCTAGTAATGATCGGTTTTGGAAGAAGTGTTTGAAAAGTGCTGCCAGACCTTGGAGAGAGAACATGATTCGGAACACTGCCCTGGGCCGGCGGGGTGAGCCGCGCGCGCCACCGGGAAGGGCGGCGCTGTAGAGCAGCAGCTCTGGGTCTCCCCTGGACCTGAGTGTGCTCGGTGTCCTTACCCCCAGTATAAAGTAAAGTTTAAAAAGTGGTTTAATTGGTTTAATTAGGCCTCAGGATACGAAAAAATACGGAAAAGGCGCTTCTTAACCAGTGAGGGCAAGGGTTATTTGGGCATATTAGGAATTTATGACTACAGTTAAACCAGGCGCAGGGGTAAAAGCAGATAGGTACGAAAATAAGGAGATTAGTATGAGTTAAGATTCAAAAGTAAGCCGGGCGCTGTGGCTCAAGCCTGTAATCCCAGCATTTTGGGAGACCGAGGCGGGTGGATCACGAGGTCAAAAAATCGAGACCATCCTGGCCAACATGGTGAAACCCCGTCTGTATAAAAAATAAAAAAATTAGCCGGGCGTGGTGGCGCACGCCTGTAGTACCAGCTATTCGGGAGGCTGAAGCAGGACAATCGTGTGAACCCGAGAGGCAGAGGTTGCAGTGTCTAAAAAAAAAAAAATTCGAAAGACTTAGGTGGCTTTTGGTGTGTTTCCCAGTTTTATCGGTATTAGTCATGTGGGTCCCCCCTTTTCCCCAATTAAGAGATTTTAATTAGCTTGTCAACCACTCTGTCTTTAAAACCAAGTTATAGTTTCAATTAAATTTCAGAATCAAGGTATACGGGAAATGACAGACAGTGTTCCTTTATCTTTGCAAAGATGAGGAGTCCAGGCTTAGAACTCTGGGACTACCACTTTCCATTTTAATGAGAGTTAACTGATTGCTCTCTGGGCTGGTTTTCCAGAATGGATGGGTGGGAGGGCTGGATCTCCACTGTCCCTGCCCTTTGTTTCTCTTCCTTCTCCCATCTGATTTGTCTCCCCTCCCCCACGTTCGTCTGTATCATGCCTTTCCTGCACACTTGATTTCCCCCTCCCCTTGGGCTTTCTACTTTTTGTCGTCAGCCTTTTGATCTCAGTTGCCTTTTTATATTCTAGCTTTATTACTATAAATGTGGAGCCCGTTCTGAGTTTTTACTGTAATTTTTTCCTTTCCTCAGGTTTTTTTTTTTTTTTAACTATAAATTTCTTCCCCTTCTTTCGTTTTTGGCCTTTTTTTGTTTTCTTTTTGGGCATTTTATTCCTTATTATGCTTTTTCTTTTACTTTCTCCTAATGTGTTTTATGCCTTTCTTGTCTTTGGAAGAACCGTTCTACCTCCATTCTAACGTCTCCCTTCCCTTTTCTTGGCCCTTTTTCCCCCTTGCTCTCTGCAGGGCAGCAGGGGTGTTTTGCATATGGAAGAAACCATTGACTAAATGTACTGGCATTCTAGTGAGTTTCCCTGAACAGCTTTTACTTGTGCCGAGAGCTCTCACACTTCCTGTGGTAGAAAGCTATCTAGGAACAGCAAGCGGTTGGTTGCCTGCCTACTCTTCCTTTTGAAGTACAACTTATTTGCTGGATGAAACTGAGCCAGGTACTGCCTTTTTAAAAGAAATGTTTTAAATCTTGTTTTTCTCAGCCAGTGCAAGAGCCTTTAAGTTCAATGGAGGTGAATGGAGGGACTGTGAAATCAATCTCTTGCAACTAGCTCTATGTATGCAAATACCACGTTTTTGGCCACTGCTGGTAGTGGGAAGAATTGAAATATGACTTTGAATTGACATGCAGGCTGGATTCTTGCATCAGTTAAGCATTTTTGCCCAGAGGATTTTGGAGGATCCAGAAAAAGGAGGGACATAAGTGGGAGAGGATCTTTCTGACATATTGCTGTCAGTATTGGTTTTTTTGTTTGTTTCTTGAGACAGAGTCTCACTCTGTCACACAGGCTGAAATGCAGTGGTGCAGTCTTGGCTCACTGTAACCTCCACCTCCAGAGTTCAAACAATTCTCCTGCCTCAGTCTTCCAAGTAGCTGGGACTACAGGCTCGTGCCACCATGCCTGGCTAATTTTTGTGTTTTTTGTAGAGACGGTGTTTCACCATGTTGCTCAGCCTGGTCTTGAACTCCAGACCTCAGGTGATCCACTTGCCTTGGCCTCCCAAAGTGCTGAGATTACAGGCAAGAGTCACCATGTCCGCCAGGTCTCTACAGAAAACTATTTTTTTTTTTTTTTTTTTGGAGATTGAGTCTTGATCTGTCACCCAGGATGGAGTGCAATGGCGCAATCTCAGCTCACTATGACCTCTGCCTCCTGGGTTCAAGTGATTTTCCTGCCTCAGCCTCCTGAGTACCTTGGATTACAGGTGCCTGCCACCACGCCCAGCTAATTTTTGTATTTTTAGTAGACACTCGGTTTCACCATGTTGGCCAGGCTGGTCTTAATCTCTTGACCTCGTGATCCACCTGCCTCGGCCTCCCAAAGTGCTGGGATTACAGGCGACAGCCATTGTGCCCTGTCCAGAAAACTCTCACACTTTAAGAAGTCAGCTTGGCCGGGCATGGTGGCTCACGCCTGTAATCCAAGCACTTTGGAGGCCAGGGCAGGCGAATCACCTGAGGTCGGGAGTTCAAGACCAGCCTGACCAACATGGCGAAACCCTGTCTTTAAAATTAATTAATTAATTAATTAAAAAGAAGTGAGCTTTTCATTCTCTTTTTAAAATTTTTTTATTATTATTTTTCCTTTTTATAACCCCATTTTGCAGATTCATTCTCTAAGCAAGGTAATTACTTTAAAAATTTAGTTGGGTTGCTGGGCATGGTAGCTCAGGCCTATAATCCCAGCACTTTGGGAGGCTGAGGTTGGTGGATCACCTGAGGTCAGGAGTTCAAGACCAGCCTGGCCATCATGGTGAAACCCCATCTTTAAAAAAAAAAAAAATTAGTTATTATCTCTCTGCATATAATTTCGGATCACATACTCTGTAGTTCCCTTGTTACGAGGACATTTTAGGGGGAAAAATGTTCTATTAGTTTTTTTTCCTTCTTTTTTTCACATGGAGTCTTGCTCTGCTTCCCAAGCTGGAGTGCAGTGGTATGATACTGGGTCACTGCAACCTGGATTCAAGTGATTCTCCTGCCTCACATTCCCAAGTAGCTGGGATTACAGGCATGTGCAGCCATGCCCTGCTATTTTTTGTATTTTTAGTAGAAGCAGAGATTCACTATGTTAACCAGGCTGGTCTTGAACTCCTGACCTCAAGTAATCCACTGACCTGGGCCTCTCAAAGTTTTGGGATTATAGGTGTGAGCCACCTTGCCTGGTCAAAAAAATGTTCTACTGTTGCTTGGGAGGTCTTGGTGCTCTGTGATGAAAAGATCTGTTGAATGAGTAATGTTTTACATCCCAGAATTTTTTTTTTTCCCTTTCCATGACAGTAAGAACTCACAGGATGGTGTTTATTAATTGCACATGATTCCCCTCTTGGCCTACAATATATGCTTAATAACAGGGTCTCCAGTCTTTTTTTTTTTTTTTTTTTTTTTTTTGAGACAGTTTCGCTCTTGTTACCCAGGCTGGAGTGCAATGGCGGGATCTTGGCTCACCGCAACCTCCGCCTCCTGGATTCAGGCAATTCTCCTGCCTCAGCC